CGCGACTGTGCCCTCGTAAGGTTGCTTGTCCCCTGCCCCTCCGGAGGTCTGTGCTATGAGGCCACTGCATATAACTTATATACTGTCTATACTTATGTTGTCTCTAGCAAGTATTTTTGTCTGTCTGTGTGACTCAACGGGTGGGAGGAGAACCTTGCTGGCTTTCAGTTTTTTTACGAGAATCTGTGAGAATAAGATTCAGATTATGATCTACTAAAACAAATGGCAGATGTATTACTTAGACTAAAAACATGAAAGATTACAGTACATTATGTCTTTGTTCCTCTGTTTATCACTGTTCCACCATATTTCTTTAATTATTTATCTAATAATCACTGTAAGAGCTGAATACACACACCTGTTGCTTTTGAACAGCAAGTTTCATGTTTAGGCTTTACTTCTAGTGTAGGGTTAGCACAGCAGCAGTGGGTTGTCATGTCATATGTTTCCTTGCCACAACAAGAATGATTTTCCTTCCGTTGAAATATGTTGTTTTTACCACAACACAAATGAGTGGTTGTCAAGTACATGTCTGTAAATAAGTGTAAGAGAAAACTCATTATAAAACGTCAACCTTGAGCTAACTGTATGAAGATCAACCAATCTCATCAAAATTTCTTAAGCATGCAAAAATATGTCAAATCTGGACAATGCCATCAAGGTGTATAAAGTGGATTGTCTACCTTCGCCACAGCATTTCACGTGAGTGCTGCTTCGAGTCAGAATCCTGCCATCACAGCAAATCTCATTAAGTGGATTGTAAGCTACAGAACCACAGCAGTCAGCCACCAGCTGGCTTAATCCCAGAGTTATATTACCTGCAACATATTAATATACAATCTAAAACAGTTTTCAATGTTTGTATATGTCATAAACTCATTGTGAATCACATCCTCTACTCTCAGTGACTCAGCAACCACAAACCAAAAGCTGCAGGAGTCTCTCCTACCATTACAGCAGGAACTTCCTGAGATATTGTAAGACACATTTCCACACCAGTGCAGATGATGGCTGCCTTTCATCTGTCCATTGAAACCTGCGTTGCTGCTGACATAAACAATACAGATCACTCCTACTCTTACCAACACATTCTGTTAATTTACATTTAAGTGATCTATGATAAAACATATGTAATAATGAATGAAAAAAATCTCTTATGCAACTGTGTTTAGAGGCTCAGAGTTAAGGCTCTGTGTAAGGTCACTCACTGGCTCCCTCTGTCATGATGGCAGATTTCTGAGGAACAAAGAGATTATGAAAAATGAGTGGTAACTAGTGGTTCTAAAAGTGATAACTACTCTCCTGTGGGTAAGACAACTCTAAATGCTATAAAGATTAAAGTCAACATGAATATGACACTGACCTAATAGAAGTTTCTGGTCTTATGTGAATGGTTAATCAGTGCAAAGTATTTGTAGTAACTTTATCTGCCCTTGATCTGATGAAATTGCTTTCTTTTTGCTCACATCATCATAATGGCTTCGAAGAATGGGATGATAAGCGGCACATGATTTATAGTTTTTAAACCCTCCACTTCCATATCTGGCTCCATTCTGGTATGTAACACCCACTTTTCACAATTTCTGACACAAAAGAACAAACCACCCCCTACATTTATAGTAAGAAAAGGGGTTGAAAAAGGGGGTTGTTAAATACATTTTGACTTTTAAGGGTCATAATTCACTAACCCTCATGTTGTTCAACACATGCATGACTTTTTGTATGCATTTTGAAAAATGTCACAGTAAGTTTTTTATCTATCCATAGAATGGAAGTCAGTGGGGTCCAAAATAATTTACATCATGAAAAGAAGTACATCATGCAGTGTAATGATTTGATGATGATTAAATGATGGGAATATTGCCAATTTTAGGTGAACTATACCTTTAACCTAAAACCATGGTAAAGTACATTTTTGTACAAGTTAATTCATACTCTCTTGTGCCTGCTGATACAAAAATATAATGTATTTTCTTCTTTTATAAATGTTTGTTACTACACAGTATGTCATTGGATGGCACTGATGCTATTACACTCCTTATGTTTCTGAAAAAAGATCTCAATTCTACTAAAAACCACTTGCTAAACTTATGCCTACCACCAACATCATCCACTAGGCCTATCACTGCAAAAATTGCCAAAGCACGAAAAAGACCTCTCCACACGTTATGAATACAATTTCCCACTCACGTTTCTCCTCTTTTGTACTTTTTATTGGGGTTAAGGCAGTTTTGTTATTAAACTTTTCTGCACTGCATTTGTTAGAAATAAAAACAACATACAGTCCTCCAGTGAGCCCTAACTCCGAGACTCTGCCCAGCACCACATTCAACAAAACAGAAAGTAAAACAACGGAATTCATAACAAAATGGAACCCAAAACTCGGTAAACTACCACCGTCTCTACCCCGGACGCGACCAAACGACCATTGCAAATCCATTTGTTCTTCGTGTCAGAAGTAGCGCAGTGCTTGGAGTACATGAGAGAGAACGGGGCTTCAGTTTACTGTCGGGGATTTGTCTGTCGTTCCGCGCCGCTTCCACTGTATCAATGATTATTGTCGCGTCGCTCACGCCCGGTGTAGACACAATGTAACATACAGTAGCATACAGTTTTTTCCCCTCGGCCCGCGACATACTGATGCGTAATAGTATTAACGCGTAGCATGTCATAGCAACTGTCTAAATCTCAAATTAAGACTAATCAATCGCTACACTACCACGGTCATCAAAATACTGTCCCTCGCCGCCCAGTCAAAGTGGTATCCAATCTGGGTGGGTGTGTAAAAGTTCTGTGCTCTATTAGTTCCTTGTTCAGTGCCTTTCTGTAATTGCTAAGTTTTCAGATAACGCAACACTTTTGAACTGTTTGGGCTACTCTGAGCGCGCTTCATCTGCAGCTACTTCTTCCCTCTCACTAACTGCGTGCATGGCTCAAGAGCAAGCTCAGTCTCCGCCTCCAAAGAAGAAGAAAAAAAAAAAAAACACTTAAAAACGCGCGCATAAACAGAGTTTGTTTGTCTACTCTTTTGTACCTCTACATGAATTAGTTAATAACAATTTTGGAATAATATTTGGAAAATTTGAATAACACCACTGATATTTATTAGACTAACTTAATTTTTTGTTTTGTTTCAATGGCCACTCTTTTAAATGACAACATTAGCTGACACTAAATAAAACTAGTAAAGGAATATGTCTAGTATATAAAAGTATAATAAAAGTATAATTTTTGTGTTTCCTTACCCTTTGCAGAGGATGTGGCAAAACTGCACAAGACTGTTACTAAAACTGCAATAAAAAAATACAATATAAGTTCTAAAATATCACTTAAAAAATAAATACATTAATCTCCAATAAAGGTAACCAAATCTTTACAAATGTGCTGTCATACATGTGTAGATCTCCATTGTGTATCCTTGTTCAGTAAAGCTTGAATATCCCAAGGATGAGAATTTATGCACCCCAAAATAAAACTTTTGCTCCGCCCCTCAGGCTGCATCACAGTAAGTAAGGAAGGACCACAGATTGTGATGCCCAAAAGCACATAAAGTAAGTAACAAGTACGGGCATGATAACAGAATTCATATTTTTCATTGGCTTATGTTTCGCTATACCAGCATCGTTGCATGTGGGGTTGATTAGTGAACTGCACAGTCGCTGAGATCCATATCATCACACTTCGTAATGATCTCTGGAATGTTTTACTGTTATACTGTAAGTTGTTTGCTGGCATGCTTCCATTTAGCATTGTTTAATCATGTTTAATCACCATTGGTTCCCAACCAAGCACTCCCACATGCACACCAAATACAAACACATGCGCATGGCTCGTATGTTGTATCACTAATAATCATAATAAATATTAGTGATGAAATAAATATCATGGTAATGATAATAATACCATGGTGTAACCGCTAAATGGCTACACCCCTATATTTAAATATATCATTGTTGGTGTGTTTCCCCGTCATTTTTTAAATGATTGTTTGTTTTTTTTTGTTTTTTTTAATTGTTAAGCCCTGTTGAAAAAAACAGCATATGCTGGTTAGGTATGTTATGACGCTAGGATGCTGGTCCTTTGCTGGTTTATGCTGGTCCTTTGCTGGTTTATGCTGGTCCTTTGCTGGTTTATGCTGGTCCTTTGCTGGTTTATGCTGGTCCTTTGCTGGTTTATGCTGGTCCTTTGCTGGTTTATGCTGGTCCTTTGCTGGTTTATGCTGGTCCTTTGCTGGTTTATGCTGGTCCTTTGCTGGTTTATGCTGGTCCTTTGCTGGTTTATGCTGGTCCTTTGCTGGTTTATGCTGGTCATGTGCTGGCAAAGGACCAGCATCCTAGCGTCATAACATACCTAACCAGCATATGCTGGTTTTTTCAACAGGGAGTTCATTTGAGGTGTCAGTTTTACATTATTACTTTATATACATTATTATTACAGTCAAATCTGGACACAGACAAAGGATTTTGTTAGCTATAGCTTCATCACAAAAGTAATTTGAATATTGACTCAGTGTAACTATATTTCAGTACAACTGAGTGTTTGCATACCATGAACAGAGCTCTGGTCTGTGGTCTCTCCTCCTTTTTTGAAAAATCCTGCATCGCAAAACGATCAGCGATTTACAAATTCAGGTTTAAGTTGCTTTATTGGGAAAAAAAAAAAAAAAAAAAAATAAAAAAAAAAAAAAAAAAAAACATTGACAGGGCTCTGATCCAATGGTGTTGAGCATTGTCAAATTTACAGAAAAGAACAGGCAGCGAATAAGGCAGTGAGGCAACAGTACCGCTGATCAGGGTCGTCGCAAGGGGGGTGCGAGGCCCTGTGCGAAGTTGACGTGCGAGGCCCTCTACGATTGTGTGTGTGTGTGTGTGTGTGTGTGTAATAATAATAATAATAAAGCAATTAAATAATTAAATGATTAAAAGTGATTTAAGGGAATAAGTAAATAAGAATGCTCAAATAAGTTCTAGGTTTGTAGTTAAATATGAAGTAGTAATCAATTTACACTATTTGAAAATAATATTTTATTTTAAAATGTGCACATTCACTCTTATTCGTATGTCTAATAGTCCAAAACGCAAATGTCTCTTGTCACGTTCATTTAGGCTATGATTTACATGAATCATGATCGCATTTTTTCAATTCAAAACGGCGAAATTTCATAAAAAGTTGAGTAGTTTGCATCGCTAGATAGTCTATTACTGTCGGTCGCTGAACATTTATATCGTAAAACAGTTTTCTAATACTTAAATCTTTCCACAAACTCTCGTTGCGTTTGTGACAGTGACAGTAAGACCTGCCTTCTTTGATTTGATTGGCCATCTCGATCATTTTGACATTGACGAGCGCTGTTGGATCACAAGGCAGACCAGCCTAAAAGTGTAACTTTTTGTCATCCTAACAACAAACAGCTTTACTCATTCTTATACACAGAGTCTTATACTGTCTATCAGCTATGACTATTTTAGTCTTTAGAAGGGCAAAATATGTGGAAAAACATTAATAAAAATTAGACATAAATGACATGAAATGCAGGCCAGGAGCGAGGCCCTCTAGAGGTGCGAGGCTCTGTGCGGTCACACACTTGGCACAGCCCTTGCGACGTAGCCTACTGCCGCTGATCGTGTGGCCCCTAGGCTACAGCCTAGGTTAGTTTATGCAACATCCGCCCTAAGCCCTGTTCCTGAGCCATGGAGATCCTTTTTCACTTAAGAAGCACTGAAATTAATCTCAGCGGGAGTGAACAGTTTCTAGATTTCTTTACTGGAAAAAGGCAGATCATGTTTTGATAAAGGACTTTGTGGTTTTACTGAAAGAAAATCTGTTTATGCAGTAGATTAACAGATATTTGTGAACTGTTCAGATAATGTAAATTAGATGATGTAATAATCAGATAGCCTAATCAAATCAGATAATGTAATTATATATACCAAGCCATCATTTGGACATCGGTCAAAGCCATCGGCTTATGCTGAGCCTAGTCAGCCTAGTTTTTGTGTTCTGCATGGTTTGCACGAGGACTGAGGGTGACAACTTGGCTGACTTACTGAGCGTGATGATTCAGCTGCGGAGCCTGTCTGTGAGAGGTTTGACTGGCTGTTCAGCTTGCCTTTTGTTATCGGTTTGGTATGTATGAGTCATTGCAAGTGGTCATCAAACTTTTGACGTCAAAAAAGATTGCAGAGTCTTGCATCAGCTGCCTTTGTAATTATTATAGGGAAAGTTTATCTGTTGTTACCAAAAAAAAAAAATCTATCTTGACTCGCACAGTCTACACAAATTGTCTGCACAATTGTTGCGTCGCAACAGCTAAAGTCTGTAAGAAACCACATCTGGAAACTATCACTGAAAGAAAAAAAAATAGGCCTACTCCTTTCCATCTCCGTTATCACAAAAAACACGACTAGAGCTGTAGAATATAATCTTTTTTACAATGTGATGCTGATGTGAACGATTCTGCATCGATGCATGAAAACAAAATAATCAATTTTTAAAAAGTATTAAAGGCCTATCATGCATATAAATGCATTGTTTTACTGTAAATATTGTACTCTTATTACATATAAATTAAATAAGTTGCGCATGTCCTTTGGAAGGAAAACAATTTTGTCAGATGTTTCGGTTTTTCAGGATGTTTTCTTTCTTTTCTTTCTTGCTTTCTTTCAAATAAAATAAAAAGTTATAAAGCACAATATGCTATGAGAAAGATCTTGTTGCATTACTCATGCATTGTGATGCATTGAAAATGATTTTATAATCAAACTAAATAAACAGTGATGCAAGATTCACACCTCTCTAACCACGCCACTACAAAAAACACAGCTCTGATCACGGCATTCCTCATTCTCCAGCAGTTGACGTTGTTGAAACATGTCACTGTTGGCTGGCTTATGCCACTTCAGAGTTTCTACTGGTGGTGCCAGTGCTAAATCCCCTAGGAAGAAACCCCACCCCAGGGTAAAACCCATGTCAACACTACATTATGCAACATGCAAACTCCACCAAGTCCTGCAAGCTCAGCTGGGACTTGATCCAGGGGAAATTCTCTTGCTGTGAAGCAATAATCTATCAATAGTCAGTCCTAAACAGATTGGCTGATTTCTACAGGTTTTCCTGGAGCTTAGTGTTTGCCAGTCTTTGACATCCACCAGGAGACATATTCCAAGACTGTTAATATGTAACCAACAATGGGATATGGAAAAAGTATAATTTATAAAGATTGGCCTAGTCATTAAAGGATTTGTGAGAGGTCCAGTTTTGTTAGTTTTGTTAGACTATGGTAGCACTCGCTAACAAGGACTCCTCTCTGTGCCAATCACAACAGGCTTGACCAGCTGACCAATAAGAGCAGAGTAGGCTTATGGAAGGGAGGGGTTTGCTCCGAACTTGCTTGGAACTAATAGTTTCGAAATCATTGGCAAATGACTCTAATATTAAATGTATATTCTGAGAAAATTACAGTTTTTTTCTGACCTTAGATGCATTTAAACCTGTTGTAGGCTACTCCAACAGAATATTAGGTCACTTTAAAACACCATATGACCTGCTTTTTAAAAAACACTAAAGGACAAAACACTGTGTTGATCGGTGATGCAAGCCTTCTGCTGTGACTCTGTTTGGAACTATTTTGATGATATTAGCCCCTTTCACACATACTTTCTTTACTGGTAAATTACCATTAAGAAATAATGTGTGAACAGGACCTTTTCAAAAATACTGGTAAATTCATTCTGGCAAACTTGCAATTTTGGAGATGCTCTGACTCAGTTCACCAAGAATCACCAAGAACCATGGTTTGAGCTAAATCTGCTTCTGTTCTATTGAAGAAAAGTATTCAACTACATCTTGGATGGTCTGAGGGGGAGAAAATGAACAGCATATTTTCATTTTTGGGTGAATTATCACTTCAATCTCACTCTTGAGCATACTGTGCCGCCCATATGCCAAAGTTTTGCAAGCTAAAATGAAATCTGATATGATTTAAACTGATTTTATCTATAACCTAGTGATTTCATAGTGTATTTACTTTTATGTTTACACCTTTCTCTAAGAAACAATGTATGCTTCTGTTTTAAAATGTGTGGGAAATTCAAGAAACCCCCCAATGACATTAAACACAGTGCATGACCTCATGCTAGGAATGCGATTGCCCATGTTACGTGCAATACAAAATTCCCAGTGAGATCAGTAATGATGATCTGAGCAATAATAGAGTGTTGTGAAAGAAGAGAAAAAATACCTTTTCACTTCAGCCCTTTCTTTTGATATTTA